TTAGAAGTCACAAGATTATAAAAACTTAATGCATTTTAGGTTTTCTTTGTTTTGCCTTCTGGTTTTTGAGCATTGGGGTCACATTTCCAAATTTGTTTTCTGCAATCGTTAGGGCTAGAAAATGTTCTGTGTTTTCTGAGAGCTGACGTTCTCTTGCATGGGGAGTTTTGAAACACACTGTTTGAGGGGCTTTAATAAAAACACCAAATATCATGAGACTCATAATAAAATCGCAAAAGTTGTCAACACTGTTAAATTTAAGCATGTTCTTTTGTTCCTTGCTAAATCAAATACTTAAATAACCAGAGTGGGAAATCCCAGATATCATGCAGCTTATTGCTGAGATTTAACAAGATAAAAACATTTTAACAGGACCTTGAAGCGGCGTGCTACTAAATATAGATGCAGACAGCGTTAATATTTCATCTGAAGGCCCTTACTAATTAAGATACACCTCTCAAGTGAAACCCAAGAAATTACCATTGATAATTGCACTGTTAAAATTGTGCATCCTGACATCTCTGAAATAACTGTGCAGTGAATGTGTGCACAGTGTGAAGGAGAGTGATAGAAATGTAGCCGTGTTAGTCTGGTGTAGCTGAAACAAAATACAGGACTATGTAGCACTTTAAAGACTAACAAGATGGTTTATTAGATGATGAGCTTTCGTGGGCCAGACCCACTTCCTCAGATCAAATAGTGGAAGAAAATAGTCACAGCCATATATACCAAAGGATACAATTTTTAAAAAATGAACACATATGTAAAGGACAAATCACATTTCAGAACAGAAGGGGGATGCAGGGGGGGGGAGGGGAAAGGAAGGTGAATGCCAGTGAGTTAATGATATTAGAGGTGGGGAAGGGTAGATGTCTGTGAGTTAATAGTATTAGAGGTGATAATTGGGGAAGCTATCTTTGTAATGGGTAAGATAGCTGGAGTCTTTGTTAAGTCCCCTGCGGAGAGTGTCGAATTTTAGCATGAATGCCAGTTCAGAGGATTCCCTTTCAAGTGCAGATTTGAATGTCTTCTGAAGTAGGATGCAGGTTAGCAGGTCATTGAGACAGTGTCCTTTCTGGTTGAAATGACAAGCAACTGTTTTTTCTTTGTGATCCTGTCTAATGTCTGTTTTGTGGGCATTGATTCTTTGGCGAAGTGTCTGAGACGTTTGTCCAATGTACATAGCAGACAGACACTTTCGGCACATGATAGCATAGATTATATTTCT